TAAAATAAAATAAAATAAAATAATAGCAGTTTTACTAATAAGGTTGCCCCATCTCACAACCTCAATGTATGTATGTTGGGGCCAGCTCTACCATTAGGCAGAGTGAGGTGGCTGCCTAGAGTGGTGGATGCTGAGGAAGAGGGACCATCAGAGATGTTGAAAAATAGAGCAATGCATGCCATATGGCCTTCCCTGCACTCTCTAGGCTAACCTGCTGCCTTTGCATGCGACGGAAGATGCTGTCTCATCAGCAGTGTTGAAATAAGATTCAACTGCCAGTCTGGTGTCTTACATGAGCAAGAGGGTGTCATCTTGTCCTTCACAGGCAGCAAAATATCTTGGTGCACATGGAGTTTTGATGCAAATAGGCATTCTTATTCACTGTGGTGGACAGTGTAGAATTCTCTGCAACTGAAATGTGGCCTTCTTTCCTGAGAAGAATGGACAGAAGTCTTTGTGGGGAGAATTCCACAGAATAGAGCCCAGAAGCTCCAATGGCACGCTTAAATGGCAAAAAGCTACAATTCATGCTGGTAGTTGGCTTTATTTAAGTAGACCAGAGCAATTCCTTATTCTGAATTGCACAGACTGATAGGCGCTTGATTTATAAGAACAGTGCTGTTAAAAGAACATACATGTCTGGGTTTTATTAGGACTTTCATTCTAGAAATGTATGGGCAGACAGATTAAAAGGAAAGCCAAAATGGAATAGACTTCTTAATTCTTGAGCCAAATACAATTAATTCTAATACAACTGCTTAGAACATTACGCCAGGGAACTATAATGTGATACATACAATAAAAATGCTAAGTAGTTTCTTCTGTTGCAGGTGATAGAATAGATGCACAAAATTGGTTAAAACCTCCCATGCTATCAGGTCCCGCACTGCAGCCTAAATGATATATTTTGTATTCTTGCATGTCAATTCAACAGGAACAGCAACGTAGCTAGATTTATCTTAGCGACCAAACGAAATGCCTGAAATAGAATCATCAGAAGACAATATTCCTTGTAGAGCCAGAGAATCAAAACAATAATTTCACTTGCACCCCTGCTTCTAGTCCTTACATTTTCCTAAGTACCCAAAAATGCTGTTTTGGGGCTGAAACTATTTCATACCCCAAGCAATCTTGGTGTACTTTTAATGATAACAGTCCAGTATCTGTCAAAGGACACTGGATACTGCCATTGGCTCCACTGTTTATTTTGAACTGAACAAGACCAATTTCTCTTACCTGTTATAATTTCATAATCATAATTTCAAATTACTGGGTAAGAAATAAAAGTGAACAATCAGATGCAGGATTTTCATTACTGTGCCTGGAGCATGCCGAATTATATGCTAAAGCTCTGGAAATCAGAGTTTGTCACTAAAACACAGTGTGTATTTGTCTCGCAAGTATTCTGCCTAATGCTCTGGCTGATCAGTCTAATTTTTATAATGTGCAAAAACGCAATATAAAACCTAAAGGCCTCTCAGGTAGAGGGTGTGCATTTCTGAAATGAGTATATTCATCAACCTACTCTACCAATGTAAATAATAATTTGAGTGGCCATTGCCATTACATGTCTGATCAGGCCCAAATCTCCATATCAGCGCCATTCTTAGAATGTAACTGTGACATGTACATGCTTTGCCTTCACTTCTTTGGGCTTACTTGTAACCCTACAGATCCTTGATTAAAGCTGAATTTCCTTAAGCCTCCAGAACTATAATCATTTTTAGAACTATTTCTAGCATGGATGTGGGAGACACAAGAAAGGGATTCCCTAGCTACAGCAGTAACAGTACTAGATGTTCCAACACAATCTTTTGTTCTTCTGTGAGAACACTTGAGACAGTGGAAAAAACCTATGAAAAACTGACAAAACATCATATGGGAGGAACAGACAGGACAATTCTCTAATTTGGCAGCTGCGCCTCTATAGTAAATTAGGCTTTAATATTCTGTAGTGCAGGACTGCAGAACCTTGCAAGGGCTGAATTCAGTTTCAGAGAAATTCTTGGGAGCCACATTCCAGGGGTGGGCAAAAGGAATTAGGTGAAAATACTACTATGTTTAGATTAAAACATTTACTGCCAGTAACTAAGCTTTTAAATAAGGGGAAATGTACAAAAGCAACAAAGCCACCTAAAATAATTTGGGGGAACTTTCAAGGGCCAGACTGGAACCCCAAGTGGGCAAGATTTGGTGCCTAGGCCTGAGATTCTGCATCCCAATAATAGCAGATGTAACTAGATATTGTGCAAGGCCAACTTGTGTTTAAAAATACTTAAGGAGCTTGCTTTGTATGCATGACCTAGCTAATATGACAAAAAGTGTGCTACAGTGACAAAAATATTGTAGCATATCAAGTACAAAATTTAAAAGCCTTAAGCACACATACTCTTGGAATTCCACATGTGCCATGTTTACAAGGATAGTAATTACCCTGTCATTAGCATAGTCATTATGTGACTCAAACAGCCTTTACTTGTATGAGAAATAATCATGTAATTTCCCTCTCTCTATCCACTTTATTTAAACTACTTCTATACTGCCTCAAATCCTAATGTCTTTAAATAGTTTACATCAAAAAGTATAACAGAATATAAAAATAATGTAAAAGCAAATATAAAATACTTTCAGACTGCTGCACAAACAGTAGAACACAACAGTGCAGTTTTGGGCAGGGAAAACTGGAGAGAACAGATATGATTTCAGGAGGCATTTAAAGCTGACCAGTTTCTGTCTCTTGAACCACAAGTCAAATGGGGTGCTGTCATTGCTGAGAAGGCTTGTATGTGCCATTGCCAGGCAACAAACTGTAAAGTGTGGGACAACCATTAAGACCTTCTTGGAAGATCTCAGGAATCAATTTGAAGTATAGAGGGGAAGACAGTTGGCTAGGGTGAGAGCTGGCAGAGTGTCAATCAGGATCTATTTCCTAAGGCCTTTTCCAGTCAGTCCTCACATAGGTAATCACTAATCTCCAAAAAGCACCCCATCTCACCACCAGAGCCTATGCAAGACAGAGAGATTGCAAAGGGAAGACAGGTAAAAGCTAATGACTGGATTTGCATGACATGATAAGCCATCAGGGGTTGCTACTCACAGTAGGTTCTCCTATTATGAGAACCCAGACTGATTTCCTCAGGGTGGCTCGTGCATGGTGACAAACCACACCAACAACTCATGGGTTGTTGTAGGGGTGGTTCTATCCAGCAAGAGTTGGCTTGACAGCTGATTTTCATAATCTCCAGAAAAATAAAAAGGGCTGGAGTGGTGGGAAAGCCACATCTAGCCCGAAACAGTTTGCACCAACAGCAAAGAGAGGAGGAATGACTTGTTTCTCCTGATGTGCAAATCAACATAGAAACATAGCAAATTAGAAGGTGCCTCTTGAGCCATCTAGTTTGACCCCCAACTCTATCCAGCTCCACTCACGACCCGCCTACCATGTGCAATCATTGACACATAACCAGGCCTGAGAAAAACCCTCTTTTCTAGAAATCAGCAAGAGTGTATCCTTGAAATATAGCTGATACTAACCAGGCAGCAGTCCAAAAAAAGCTAGTTGGCACTTGACAGATAACAGCAGCTCAAACAAAGGGCAATTCACCCCACCCCACCCTCCTCCTCCATGTAACAGCACCTCATCCTCCCCTTCCTTTGGAGCATCTTCTTTGGCATGCAAGTGTGAAAGGTCATGCCATTGTAACTTTTTACTTCTGTAACATATTTGAAAGTATTGACTGTGAAACATGTAACTTTTTAATGATCAATATATAAAAGATGCACTCAAGCAGTCCTCAGTTGGCCCACCTGGAACAATTCCTTGGCAGTCAGATATTCTCAAGAATAAATTCTTCAAAAGAAAACCTTCCCCCGTTGTGTATTTTGGCCATGTACACACCAGAACATCGACCATTTGGTCAACACTCATATGAAATTTCTGGGGCTACTTAGGAGGAAAACCAAGGTTGAAGAGGGAGCTTACAACTTATGAGGCTGTCAGGGGCTCACCACAGGCTGTTTATATGACAAGCAACCAACAGCAGAAAGGACTGCTGTTTCATGTGAATGCACTCAATGTAATTGGAGAGAAGCAGCTCCATCTGTTTCTCTCAAGAACAATTTTTTTTTAAAGAACCTCCCCAAATAAACAATGAATGAGAGATAGAGTAAAAGGAAAAAGAACAAAGCAAGTGTATAGATGTTTGCACAAAAATCTAACTATTGTTTTTATCAGCAATCTAATTGCTGGTTTAACCTGCACTGGAAATGCAGGATATTCTTCAACTTATTAAAGTCCTTATATTAATAAATGCTTTTTAGATCTCTGCATCATGTTGACCTCTGCCATTTGTTTTGCTTTGCTTTATTACATATTTTTTTAAAGAAACCTTAAAATTATTGAACAATATTGTGTTTTTGTATTTTATGGTTTTTCCCTATGTTTTATGCACCTCTTAGAAAGTTTCAGCTATTGAGAAAAAATAGAGCTAAGTAACAAACATTGAAAGGATACAGTTAGGCTTGGAAGCTAATAATCAAATTAGTTCAGCAGCTGTAGTAACTTGGCTGTAATGGACACATAGGTCCACATTTTTCCAATTAAAACATCTCCAATATAAAACAACTCGGGGTTGCAGGAAAGGTGAATCTAATACCATTACACCATCAAGATGAATCTAATACCACTGTACTATTACGCACTGCAAGAACCTACCACATTCAAAACACTCGTGCTTTACAGGTAGCTCAAAACCCTGAAATACTTATTTTTCATGCTACCTTTGTTTTGTCTTGTTTTGTTTTTGAAGGTTGGCCACACAGCTTTCCTAAAATCCCAACTGCTTTCTCCAAACACTTCCTCTGAACGAAATATTTTAAAAATGGCGGTTACAAGAAACCGGAAGTTGGGGTCCAGAGAATGAACGCAAAATCAGAAACGTTCTCCTCTTTGTTTATCACGTGATCGCAGGCGCAGCCGGAGTGTCGCGGTGAGCGTCTTGTTCCTTGGCGCATGCGCAACTGGATACGAGCGGCTCTTTTCGTCTTCTGCTGCTTGTTTCCCCACAGCTGTTTCCCGGTGCCTCGCTGCTGCAGTAATGGCGGCCTGGCCCGGCGGCCTCTCCGGGGCGATACTTCTGTTGCTGGCATCCTCCGCCAGCTCGTTGGCTTCGGAGGTGACCAGCGGCGGCACAGAAACCCTCGGCAGTGGCGAACGGTTCAAGATCGAGGGTCGCGCGGTGGTGCCGGGAGTGAAGCCTCAAGACTGGATTGCGGGGGCCCGAGTACTTGTGGACGGAGAGGAGCATGTCGGATTCCTCAAGTGAGTACCAGTTGCGAAGCCCCGTCACCTTCCTTCTTGCGCCGCTCTCTGAACCCCGAGTCCAGGAGAGCGTGTGGTATCGGTCGGTGGGTGCCTGGTGTTCCCGGTTTTCCTTGACGTCGGGGGAGTCGTAAGTCAGCAGCAGGACTCCCAACCACGTCTCAGTGAGGGGAGGATCTCATACTTAGCTTTGTTACTTTTTTAAGGAGTTTTTTTCTTTTTTTGCCCCCTCGCTCAGAGAGGTCAAGGTGCTGGTAATCAATGCACCACAGTGGCTTTTGCACAGTGAATAGCATTTAACATTTTTTCGGGACAAATTAGAGAGACTCAGAACTAAAGGATAACTGCTTTAAAATCTACATCCAGAGTTGCTTTTTTGACTTGAGAAAAACCAAGTGAGACTGTGCACGACAGCTTTCCACAAGCTGTTGTCCTCCAGTTGTGTTGGGCTACACGCGCTGGTGACTTCCCGCCTAGACTTCTGTAACGCGCTTTACGTGGGGCTTCCCCTGAAGACAGTCCGAACACTTCAATTGGTGCAAAATAAAGCTGCCAGGTTGCTGACGGGGACTGGGCGTTATGCTCACATGACTCCAGTCCTCCGTCAGCTTCACTGGCTGCCCATTGAAGCCCGGGCCCAATTCAAGGTGTTGATTATGACCTATAAAGCCCTAAACGGCTTGGGTCCTGGCTACCTGAACGAGCGCTTACGTCCGTATATGCCCGACCGCCCCTTGAGATCTGCGGGAGAGTTCCTTCTCCAGGAACCCTCCATGAAAGAAATTAGGAGAGTAAGTACCCGGAGGAGGGCTTTCTCTGCGGTGGCGCCCAACCTATGGAATTCACTCCCCAAAGAGGTCCGCCTGGCACCGTCGTTACTGGTTTTTCGGCGCCAGGTAAAGACCTTTTTATTTAAACATCATTTTAATTGTTAAAACATATGATCTGGCCAGGGCAACTTCTTCTTCCTTCTCTTTCTCCTATATTTTTATTTACTTAATTTATACTGATAATTTTAATCTTATATTTGTAAATCAATGTATTTTTTTGTATTTTTGTATTAATGGTAATTTATTATGTACTATTGTATTTCAATGTATTTTATCATGTTGTAAGCCGCCCCGAGGTTTCGGCAAGGGGCGGCATAGAAATGTTATAATAATAATAATAATAATACCATCTCTAGCCAGCACAACCAATCCATATTAGCTGGGCATTACAGAAGTTGTGGTTCATTATAACTGGAGAGTTTGAGGCTGGGGAGGGTTAACCTGAATATATCTTAGAGTATGTTTCTTAGTACAGTTAAAGCATTTATTTCAGCAAACATTGCCCATTGTGTCTGTGAGAGAGAATCCAAACACCTTTTCTTAGAGAGTTTCTCTTTAATGATATTGCTCCCACCAATCAGCAGTATTGAAGATCCACAGAATATAGCTGTTTCTGTAGTTCTTGTTTTTCTCCAAGGTTTCTATAGATACTCCATAGAGTGGCTCAGCTATCCTTGCTTTTAGAAACTGCAGGTGTAAATTTTGTACATATTGCTCTGTGTAACCAAATGTGGATTCTGTTAAGAGCTTTCCATAGGGTATGTGTTTTGATGTGCATTCCCATTATCTTTGGCATTAGTGTGCTCAACTGATATTTTTCCTTGCTGGCAAATTCAGAAGATGCTTGAGTGTAATTATGTGCATAAGTATGTTGTGATAGAACATGTTGGTTTAAGTCCATCATGATAAAGGGTGATTGTTAAGAACATAAAAACCCTAACTTCTAATGTTGCCCTTAAAGAAACAGAGTGAGTCAGAAGGGACCTCCTGGTTGATATAGTCTGACCCCCAGCTTCAGCCAGCTCCACTCATGACATGCCTACCATGTGCATGTCTAGCCTATCCTTAAACACCCTCACCATTTGGGGCTTTAGCCACCACTGGTGGAAACCCATTCCATATCCTAGGGGTCCCAACCACCAGGAGGTACTTCCTGGCATCCAGCCTAAATCTTGGTTTGATCAGCTTTGCTCATGAATGCATCCTGCCCTCCACTGCAGGGGAAAAAAGGTCATGACCTACCTCTGCATGGTACCCCCTCAGGTATCTGTATGTCACTAGCTGGTTCCCTCTGAGTCCCCTCCTCTCAAGGCTGAAAAGATCCAGCTCCCTCAGTCTTTCTGTATATGGCTGACCCTGCAAGCCATTTGTGCAGCTTCCTTTTAAAGTCACCAAATTAGTGACCAACAGTACATCTTTTGGCAGCATATGTTCTTTTTTTTTTTTTTTTTTTTTGTTCTGCATCTCTCACTATGAAGTTTCATTAAACAACTCCATGGTTTATGAGAGGGTTTTCTTCCTCTTATAAACCACACCACCCATAATTTTATATATCTCAGTCACATTCCCCTTTGCTTACCTTTTCTAAGCTAAAAAGCCCCAAGCATTGTAATCTTTTTCTCAGGAAAGTTTGATCCCTTGATTATTTTCGGTTGCTTTTTTGTGTACCTTTCTCAGCTCCAACATATTCTTTTGAGGTACAGTTACCTAACCATACACAGTATTCAAGTCAGGGTGTACCATATATAAATGCAAGTATGGAAAACAGAATTGGGCCTAGGGTCCATTGGCTGAATTGCATACTGGCTTCACCTGTCAGTCATTGTCTCATTCAGGGTGGCGAATGGAAAGTAAAGGGCAATTCCTTCAGGTGCCTTTTTCTGTGCAGCTATGTTTGGGCATTTGGTGTGGATGCTCAAGGATGACTATCCCCAGCCCTGATATAACCAGGTTACAATATTACCTTAATAGGCATTGTAATTCTGTTCTTTGGCATGACAGATACTAATTATTATAAGGTACTGAACTAGTTTACCCTTTGTTCTGATCCAGCAAGTTTTTTCCCTGTGTTATGATATTAAAACTTCCATGGTATATTTGTATCTTATCTGTGGTAGAGTTAATCTATGGTAGTTTTTATTCTATCAGGACAGATGGAAGCTTTGTTGTTCATGATATTCCTTCTGGGTCATATGTAGTTGAAGTTATATCTCCAGCTTATAAATTTGAACCAGTGCGAGTGGACATCACTTCAAAAGGGAAAATGAGGTGAGCTTCTTAAATCATGTATTGAACCAAATGAATATACTATATAAGATAACGGTGGCAAGAGGACAGGGCTGGTTTTTCAGCAACTCTTTTATTGTTAGTTTTTCACTAGAAGAAATCTTTCTAACTGCTACATGTCCCTTACAATTGCTTTTTCAATATATAAATATGCATGAAAGTTCTATGCACAGCCTGACATAATCAACTCATTTTGAGGTAAGGAATAGCTGTTAAATGAACACTTCATGGTTTCTATAGCCTCATGGGGAGGGGCTATAGACTCCTGTGGTGCCTGGGCCCCACTTCCTAGGACCATAGGATTGTTCTCTCTTGACCATTCACACAGTTTCAATTTAAAAATACATGTGCCAATAGAGAAAATATAAAGGAGGGGTTTAATGGAGAAATGATATAGAAAATGCTTTTAAATTCCTTTCCTCAGAGCCAGATTTGTGAATTACATTAAAACATCAGAAGTAGTCCGATTGCCATACCCTCTTCAGATGAAATCTTCAGGACCTCCTTCTTACTTCATAAAGAGAGAATCTTGGGGATGGACAGACTTCTTAATGAATCCCATGGTATGTCTAGAAGATACACAGATCAACTAGTTTGCTGCAAATTACCTATTTAATTTTAATTTTGAAGGTCCTGCTTATGTGAGTTAAAAGTAAACATTAAATGATGTGTGTCTCAATTATATCATTTCTAGAGGGAGACAATTTATGAAGTAGACATGATTAAGCAAGGTTTGTATCTATGAATGTTATAAGATGCATCTCTGGAGAAGTGTATGGTTACATCATACAGAGATTTGTTACAGTACAGTCAACTGGGAAAAGCCAGGATATTTCTGAGGAAATGTAAACTAGGCTTTAAGTACAGTCTTACCCAGAAGTAAGTCTCACTGAGTTCAATGGGAACTGTTGCCAAGTATGTTAAGTTTGTTTGCAAAATTATGAGATATTGCAGTTTTGATATATACAGTGTAATGTAGTGGCTAGAATGTTGTACTGGGCATCTGGGTGCTAGTCCTCACTCAGCCATGGTATTCAGTTCATGACTTTGGGCCAGGCACAGACTCTCAGCCTAACTTATCTCACAGAGAAGGTGAGAACTTTGGAAGCAACTTTGAGTTTCTTGCAAGAGGAAGACAAGGGGTATAAATATAGTGCAAAAACAGTAATAATAAAATGACTATGAAATGGAGATGCATAAACCACATGGATTTCCTCACAGAAGAAAAAAGAAACAGTATAATATAAATGCAATGTAACAGTAATATAATGGCTTCCTAGTAAAATTACAAATATGTAAATATCTATTGTAATAGGTATCCTGCCTCAACTATGTGCATTGGGAGAGAAAACAGAGTTGTCTTACCATGCTTTCCAGCCTTGATGAGATTTTTGAGTATTGGGGCTGCTGTGCTACGTCAGGCACACATAGCAGCCACCATCTTTACTGGCTCTTGCCCTGCTTTTATCCCAGATGTGCCACTGAGATTGAGTTTGTGGCCTACAGTGTGTGTACCCTGTTGATTCTAAGAGGTGTTTGGGAGACCTTTGACATTGATGCTAATTAGAGTTATAGAACCTAGTAGACATTAGGAGTATAGGAGCTGCACTATGCAAAGTCATACTATTGTTCCATTGAAGCGAGAGTTGTCAACACATTCCAGTAGCAGTTTTCCAGCCCTGCTTGGAGATTGCATGTAGAAGGTCTGAAATTCAAATGCATTCACAAGACAGATTCTGAGTAGTGTTATGTTATCTATGATAATAGTAGAATAATTACAGAACACTGCAGGGAAGGAGGTGAGTCCCATTCTTGATCTATTTCTGTGCAGCTTGAGGATGGGTCACTGGGTGAAATCATGATGTCGCACATAGAATTGTAGAGTTGGAAAGAAGTTTGGGAGTCTAGGCTTAAATTCCTATTGAAAAGGAGAGACCACCATCTCCTGAACCAGTCAATTCACTGTCAGCTGATTATTACCGTTAAAAAGTTTCCCTTCATGATATCCAATGTCTGCTTCCATGCACTTTCTTGCTACTAGTTCTGTTCATACCCTATGGAGCAGTGTGACAGCCCTTCACATATTTATCTCCCCTTAATCTTTAGGTAGGCTATTCAACTTTTGCAGTCATTCCCCTTAGGTCTTGCCATGCTGGTTGCAGACCTTTGGACATGCTTCTGTTTATCAATGTCCTCCTTAAAATTTGGTACCCAGAACAGAATGGGATTGGCCTATTTCACTTTCATATGACCCATAATTTCAGTGGATACATAGGAGATACATTGACTAGTTGAAAGCTATGCTTGCAACCTAGATTGTTTGCCTTTCCCTCATTGTCATAGTTCATAACACCAGGATGCTTCCAGATCTATAGCTGTACCTTGAGCTCTCCTAGTTACCATTAGTTGTTACAGAAGGGTATATGGCTCTAGTTGTTATCAGATAATGTGCTAATCACTGGGGTTTCATGTATATGCAAATTATTTATAATATGTGGATTTATTGCCAGGGACTTCATTTTTGGCTGTTCATAGAACTAGTAATATTGAAGCATTGTGAAACGAACTTTCACATTAGGTTTTTTGTTTGACACTTCCAATGAAAATCAGAAAAATACATTAACACCATCTTTTGAATTTTTGCTGTTTAAGGTTATGATGATGATCCTTCCATTGCTGATATTTGTACTGTTGCCTAAGGTGGTCAATACCAGTGATCCTGACATGAGGCGGGTGAGTAAGCTTTGCAAGAGTTAATAGTGCAAATAACTGTATTTGAATTGATCAAAGGAAATACAACATGCACACAGAGAGCCCAGAAATTGCCTGGGAAATAGATTTTGTTTCACTTGCTGTTAAGGTAGAAATGCAACATGATTCAGAAAGTGAGCCTTCAGTAATGCCTTATAGTCGAAAACTTACTGGAGGAAATTCATACTCTAAGAAATGTTAAACAGAATAAATTATGTGTGCAGTATATTTTGTTCATTTATTTAGTACTATAGATCCCATCAGTGATAATGTGGAAGATGCTCTGGTGAAAGAACAGAAATGTGAAGGCTATGGAGAGAGTAGTATGGTGAGATCAGGAAGGTGCAGATTAAGTGGGATAGGACTGAAAACTTTGCTTGAGAGCTTATATGTGTTGGATGATCTCTTTCATTTCAACAAGTCATTCAACAACCTCCTGATTCAAGAGATACTATAATCTGCTGTGAACCTTACAGGCCCATTGAGAGAGCAGCTGTGTGGGAGAATTCTCAGGTGTGCCCTCATGCCATGACTGAGAAGTGACAGAGGACTATGCTTGGAAGGCAGATCACTTTTCCAGTGGGTATTAGGAGAAACAGAAATTACTATACCGTGGGTATCAGCTGACAGCATCCAGTCTGTTCCTGTTTGCAAAAGTAGCAACTGCTTAAAGATTCCTTGCTGATGATGCTTGAAATTAATGTTGTCTCTGTTGGGCATGAGAACTTTGCTGAGGAATGGTAGCAGAGCCACTGAGGAGGAATATTTAGTTTGCCATTGTGTTGAATGATCACCATATGCCCTTCTCTGACATCATTTGCTTTCTTGGCCTGCTCTGATCCTAGGACATGCAGTTGATCATGGTGGCAGTATATGTGTGACTCACTTGTTTGCCCTGAAAACACTGTAACTCTCCTGGGTTATTAAAAAAAGCAGGTTGCCAGTATCTTCCTCTGTTTGTAAATGTCTTCCCAAACTTTCTGCCAGTTTATATTGTCCTCTCCTTCTCTTCCCTACTCTGATTAAAACAAGAATTCACATTCTAGTCTCATTCTGTTGTAACACATTCATGGTAACAAAGTTTAAACTATGATACTTATTAAATTATCCTAATTTATTGTCCTTTCACCATGCGTTATGCCGAATAGCGGAAGTCTAGAGCAAAATGGAGATTCAAGGTGTTTACTAAATCTTCTCTGCTTAGCAGTGTTTACTGTCTGTCTTTGGCTGCTGCTATTGTGGGTTCTTTTGGTATTGATTTCCCTTTCTTTCCATTAACCACTGTCTTCAGTAGTGCTTTACAGGCTTTAAGCTTATTTTCAAGTTACACTTTTTATATGAGTCTGTACCCCGAAATAGTTGATGCTTTGGTTTATACTTCTCTATACACTTACCAGGGAAAAGTCCCTATTGTAAGAATTCTGAGTAAGCTTTCATAAAATTGCACTATAAATATTCAACAGAAACCAAAAAGAGGAAACCTAAGGTATACTGCATGGGGCTGCATCCACTTGTTCCTGTTATCTAATGTATGGATAGGCAATGTATGTACTCTTTTGGACTGTGATCACATTTGATAGTTTGAGAAACCATCCCTGGCACCAATACAAAACAGCTGCCATAGAAGGCATGGCAAAGGACAAGCAACCTACCCCAAAGACTGAGTCTTAACACATTAAACATGCATGTCTATCCCCTGTTCAGGAGAAATCCCAGTTGCCAGTAAGAATGTGATAACATTTTTTTCTTGATGTGGTGGGGTAGGGCACCTTGAAGGGTGCTAAGAAATGTATCCAGGAGTGCATTGGTGTCCACAGACTCCACAGGGCCTATCTCTGGTGGGAAACTGTCTTAGTGAACATCCTTTGTGGGCAGTATTGGATAGGTTGACATGGAAGTAACATTTTCTATTCAGTCTTGAAACCCTAGAAAATAAATTCTAAGAATCTACCAATTTGTGGCATATCCAGTCAGGTAAGCTTTCCTGTATTAAAAAAAATACCAGACTCTTTATGGCATTTGCCAGATACTATTTAAATAAGAGGCCATTGTTAGAAGCAAGTGATTTTGCAAGAAAAAATTACTCTTGGGAAACATACATTAGCATGTGAATTCATTGTACTCCAAATGAGTTTTAAGAATGGCTTTTGAAATGTTTTACTGGAATGGGCTTTTAGCATTGAAACTAGAATTGTTAACACTAAATGAGCGTTTCAATTTCTAGATGGTAAACCTTTGCCCTGTAAGGCTACTTTAGACATGGTTATTCATGCTGTTTGCTTTTTTTTTTTTTTTTAATTTTTTTTTTTTTTTTTTTTTTTTTTTTAGAACTTTCTTTTTATATTTCTCTATAATGTAACAATTTTGTTTTTAAGCTGTAGTCTAAGCTGTGGAGTCTGTAGTGAGGGTGTAGAAAGCAGCTGCAATTTAACTTCTGAGAGAACAGTGAAGCTACTAGATTTACCTTTATTTTTGATTTGGAAATTGAGATCTTTACACATTCTTCTTGTTTGTATATGTTTAGGAAATGGAGCAATCCATGAATATGTTGAATTCTAACCATGAACTACCTGATGTGTCTGAGTTCATGACAAGACTCTTCTCTTCAAAATCTTCTAGCAAGTCCAGTGGTGGTAGCAGTAAAACAGGGAAAAGTGGTGCAGGAAAAAGGAGGTAGTTATATCTTCCCCTGGAACCACAAATTGCACAGTTCTGTAGTATGGTATAATTTGTATGTTCTGTAGAAGAACAAAAAAAATGCTACTGTAATCTTAATCCAATGTAAAATTGGAGATGATATGTGTATTGCGTATGATGTAACTTTTTAATCCATTTAAATACCTTGTACCTTAAACACATGGGTATATTTCCGTTCCATCTATGTAAAGGCAGTACTGATGATGAGTTAATTCCTTTGTAGATAATGCTATTAAAGAATTTAAATTATGTGAAATATGTTGATGATTCTTTAATATCACTGTAAAGTATTTCATTTCAAGAAAGAATGCGGTCTTTAACAATAACACATTGGCTCAGTTTGCATGGTTGCACAAATAACCATGATTATTTGTGTCTGTAAGCAAGCATACTGGTTCACATCCACTTCCCTGTTTCTGTATTCTTGTCTTGATGTGTGATCCTGCTACAACAGGGAATTTGAACCCATGGCTTGTCATTGGGTTAAATTCTGGGCTGTTTAACTCAAAGTAATCTGGAATGCTGCATTTGTACATCACAGCAGTATCATAAGAATAGAGCATTCCGGAGTTTTTCAGGAAGTGAATATAAAGCAACAAGCTTGTGAGAGATGATTCCTTCACTCTGGCCCAGCCACAATTATGAATTGTTTTATTTCATAATTGGTTATTACATGTGAACTAGGTGAATGTCCTTTACTACACTATAAATACATAATGTTTTTCTTAATAAACATAATGGAGAATTACTGACAGGAGAGTTGTCTGCATGTTCTTTGAATTTATTGAGTGGCAGACCTTAGGCTTCAGCATAATTTTAGGCTGTTAGCCAGTTTGTACCAATTCCAAAATATACTCCAAATATTTTTTGTGAAACACTTGGATTTTTCTTTCTTACTGTTGGACTTTTTCTAAAGAAAATCCTATGACAGTGATGCAGTACTGTCAGATTCTTATATTGATTTCTGGCTTCTTAAAAAGGCCACAAGTTCTCTTGTCTATCCTCTGCCACCAGACTATCTTAGCAAATGTTTTGTTAATAATTTTTTACTATTATAGCTTAAAATAAAAGGATTAATAGCGAGTCCTGTGGTTGAGACATACTAGAGTAAGAATAATAGCAAGAGACTAGTTAGCAACTTTTGTGTTTTCAGTTGGAAAAAATATTCTAATAACATTATCAGAGGAATAAACAGAATATTCAGCCATCAGAACCTGAACCCTATACCAATTAATAGCAATATTACTGATACAGAACTCATTTAATGCAATTCATAAATATTTTAAAAAATAAAAGTTCTAACCACTACTGTCAGCAGTCTTAAAGGATTTATCCATTTTGTCTTCTCCACACAGTAGCCAAGACAGTTGGCAGGTAAAGGCAAGCTCTACCATGTTTTTATATTCTAGACTAGAGATTAAGAAGGAAACATGAAGGTCAAGAATGCCAGCTTTCATTGGAAGAGAGATAATCCATTCTACTCTGCTATAGTCTATAATGTCAGTGCAACTTTTATCAATAGGCATGGCTATTCACATTCTATGTTTGCAAAAATCTATGGGCACACAGGTAAGGAACCACAGTCACTGTAAGCCTAAGGTAAATATATACATGTTCTGCCTGACACAAATGCTGGTGTCCTCAAACTTCACTTGTTCAACCACAATTGATGACTATTCCATACTTAATTTTAAAAGCAAATAGATGAAGGGAGGTTTTGCTGCCTGGCCCTCATTAGGCAAACCAAGGAGAAATAATAAGGTTGAATATTTTTAGATAGTAAACTGTTATACTTTGCCCATTAACTTGCTCTGAGGGGGAGGAGAAGTAATCAGAAGATGTAAGGAGATGATTAGTGTAAAGCTGTCTTTCACCTCCACCTTCGGGTTCAAGGTATTCTAAAGCAGCAGCAGCAGAACTGTTACGTATTTTACACACTTGCCAATTTTATGTGCTTGAAGAAACAATTCAAGTTCATAATAACAGATGTGGAAATTCTATATATCAATCACAGCTGTTTAAGGCTTTATATCAAAAGCAGCATATTGAATTAGACTTGTAAGTCCATATTGACTCCTTTGAGAACTGTGATAATATACTTCCAGGGATTACCAATAGTTAGTGATTGCCTAATTCCATACTGAATGATTAGGTCATACTTGATTTAGCAGACAGAATAACCTCAGTATTACTTTACCTAAACATCTGCTTAAGTATATCTCACTAATTAATGATTGCCAGATGCTGAATGGTATATAACAAGTATGTATATTTTCAGCACATTAATCACATTTGAAGGATGTGTGACACATTGAACAAAAAACAAGTTCCCTGAGAAAAATAATCACTTTCCCCAGACTAACCTCCTAGTATGTTGCAATGGCACCTGAGAGATTCTGTTGATTCTTGTTACATTCAATGGTATTGGAGGACCCAAAAATTAATTCTATTAGCAGTCTATTTCACAACCTAGATTACTGCCTGGAATCCCATTCAGATCTTGATACTATGCGAAGCTTGAAGAGGTGTTGATATCTTAAGCACATACAGTGGCTTGAGCCTGAGCCTCAAAGTATCACCCCAACACTCCCTCCCAAATATTAAGTTAATCTAATGGTCTGATCATGGAAAGATTCAGTGGGATTCCATGTCTACAGCAACTGGAACCTAAACTGATGATAATTACAGAAAAGCAACTCATTCCAAAATGGATAATGAGATTTTTTCATACTGTTAAATTATACCCAGGACTTAATTCTGTCTGGGACATTTTTAAGGGATTTTCTGAGACCATGCAATTAGTCTTAGCTTTATGGAATTAATTGAACAACTCTATCAACTGAAGTGTTCTTAATAAGAGATGGATTGAAAAGCAAACATTCATAGCAGCAAGGAAAATGTTTCATTCCTGGCACATAACAGAAGCAGCCCTGATTTGTACAAATATTACAAAAGGATGACCAAGACTCACTGCCTTTTAGTACGAAGGGTCAGCATAATCAAGGCTAGAAGTTGCATGCAAACACAGGAAGTGATTAAAGCAATAGAGGATGGTTACTAGCTAGTGCAGGGGTGTCAAACTCAACTTACCTGGGGGGCGCTGGAAGTAGAGTCTGGGTGAGGCTGGGCCGCATCAAGTATTCCACCACCGCAGTGGTGGTGGGCCGCTCATCCTGCGTCGCTCCCGGAGGCCGGCCCGGGTGCCGCCGGCACTTTGCAGGCCGCAGGGCCCCTCCCCCGTGCCCCGCCCGTCCCGGCAATTGGCCCGCGGGCCGCGAGTTTGAGACCCCTGAGCTAGTGACTATTTTGAGTTCAGATAGATTCTACATGTCTCAATTTACTTCCCTTACTGCCAAATGATGAAGCATTCCCCGATTACCAGCATTTGATTTGCAAAAATGAAACATTGAAGCTGATTTCTATGTGCTTTAGTGGCTGTGCTGGCAAATATGGTGGGCTGAGTCTGTGTTTGTACTTTATGGGTGGGTGAAGGGAAATGGGTGTGAGAGCCCCCTTGCAGCTGCTCCTGACCCTGGGAGGCAGCTGTGTGGGAAATGTGTAAATGCTTTGCAATCTCTCCTACAGCAGTACATGACATGGCAAACTGGCTCTCAGCTCCTTACTGGAGCTGCACAGCTTTCAAATGAAGCTTTATTAGCGCAGGTCAGTTCAGTGTTTTCAGAAATTCTGATGAATAACACTGAGCTGGTGTTGCCAAGAGTGGCATATGGCTTAGACAGGTTCTACACGAGCCAGCATTTGCCCATTGTATGTTTATAAAGTAAAAGAATATGAAAGATGGATCCACTTCAGAATTATTCATTGTTGATCGACTGATTGTACACCAATGTGCCTGGTGTTTTACGTAGCACAAAGGGGCAGATCCCTGTTCCAAAGAGCTTATATTCTGAAATCTCAGAATAAGAAGCAGAGGCAAGAATAAAATAATTGAATAAACAAGCACATATGCTTGGTTTCAGTAGGGCATGGGGATACTATCAGTAGAATTATCTGTTAACACCTTATTTGCAGCATTCATCACAGGTTAATAGGTGGTTAATGTTATGTTCTTCTGGAACTGGAATACAGCATGTCTGTTTCTGGTGAGTGAACATCACATCGTATTTATAATGCACAGCATGCATTCCTATAATGCTGTGCATTATAGGAAAAAGGAAGAATAACTGAAAAAAACTCCCTGATGAGCTTTTCTTGAACTTACTCTTAGTATCAATTCACAGTAAAGCAGCTAGCTCAACTCTTACGGCGAGAGTTTCACATGGCGTCATCCAGAGATGCATAGCGATTGAACGGGTTAGAAATATCCAAAATATATAGAATAAATAAATGGCTCCTATTAATTTTGGCCCCACTGTACACTTCAACTTACCAAGGCCCAACTCAGCTGACGTGTGGGGGTTGGCAAATATTTGCATAAGTGCTATTCTGGGGTTGTTTCCCCCAGACATTCTGTGCCCATATCTACATATGCCTCCCTACTGAGTATGCATCTGATAAAGTGGACTCAGAATACATTTATTAGTGTTCAAGAAGCTATGGGGCTCCTTGTCAAATGTCTTTCGTAATCTTACAATTTGTACAGTACTCTAGTGCCATGGCATTATTTGCCCTACAATGTTGTTGGAAGGCAGAAGGGTGAAGCGGCAGATGGGATCAAATTTACAAGAAACAAAAGAAGATAGAGCAAAGGTCTTGAAACTTGCTGCCAAGGGGGACTGACTCCTTTTAGTCCTTCCACTGACAGGCAAAACATCTTTATTCAGACAGGCACTCAACATACAAGCAAGTCTGCTGGTAAAGCATTATTGTTTTAATTGCCTGGTGCTGCGTATCCGATTCTTGCCTTATTAAAATTTACCTTCTTATTAAAGGTAATTCTTACCTTCTTATTAAAATTTGTTTATATGCTTGGATTACTTAATATTTTGTTTTAATTTCCTTTTTAATGTTAGCTGCCTTAAGTGCCATTCTTTGGTAGAAAGTGAGGATGTAAATTCATTTGCAAGGTAACAACTGTGGTATAGTTGTTGGACTGGGGAGATTTGGGTTCATGAAGCTCCCTTGGTGACTCTGGGCCAGTCAATGGCTCTTGGCTTCACACAGTTGCTGTGAGGACAAAATGGAGGAGAGGACTTTCATGTATAGTACTTGGAGCTTTTCAGAGGGAAAGATGGGATATAAATATAACAAATAAGCTTAATCAGCCAAAGTGGGCTAATTCATGTGATCAGCCTG